AGACTCTAGAAACTCATATTAAAATTTCTAAACTTTGACCCTACTCTCAAAATTTCAATTTTTACAATTTTAATCTTTGATCTTTATGAAATGAATCCTCAAGATACGAAAAGTCGGAGCTTCGAATTTGAAAATTAAAAATTTTTGGATCAATTTTATTATCCATTAATTAGATCTTCAAGATAAACGAGAAAATTGTGAAATGTGAAAATCTAAACTTCATAATTAATATTAAAGCTATAAAATGTAAAAAAATCGAAGCTTTTTAAAACCTTTGAAGCTCGAAGCATAGATATTTCGAAAATAGAATTTTCGACATTTAAAGTGACGATTTGGTTTTAATGTGCAGGTTCCAAGAGTTGAAAAATTCAAAATTTTATTTTAGTATTGAACTTTGAAGCTTTAAAAATTTACAAGTTTTGTCTATAAATCTTCAAAGTTAGAAAATTAATGTTGAAATCTTGAAGCTTTAAGAGTAACATCCAAATTATGAGATTTGAAAAGTCGAAAAGTTTAATACAGATACGTTTGATGTTTAATCAAGCTAAATTTCCAAAAATCTACTTTAATTTCAAATTTTAAAACTTTAAAACTCCGAGCTTTTATATTAAAAAAAATCAGATTTTTAAAATTAGAAATGCCGCAGATTTGAAATTCAAAAAGTTAAAAGTGCGAGTTCAGTGTTGTAGATTTGAAACGGAGGTCAAGTTTCCGACAATTAAAAAAATCCACGTCTGGATATTTCAAATCACGAAGAGTCTAGAAACTTATATTAAAATTTCTAAACTTTGACTCTACTCTCAAAATTTCAATTTTTACAATTTTAATCTTTGATCTTTGTGAAATGAATCCTCAAGATACGAAAAGTCGGAGCTTCGAATTTGAAAACTAAAAATTTTTTGATCAATTTTATTATTTATTAATTAGATCTTCATGATAAAGACCAAAATTGTGAAATGTGAAAATCTAAACTTCATAATTAATATTAAAGCTATAAAATGTAAAAAAATCGAAGCTTTTTAAAACCTTTGAAGCTCGAAGCTTAGATATTTCGAAAATCGAATTTTCGATATTTATAAAAGTGAAGATTTGGTTTTAATGTGGAGGTTCCAAGAGCTGAAAAATTCAAAATTTTATTTTAGTATTGAACTTTGAAGCTTTAAAAATTTACAAGTTTTGTCTATCAATTTCAACGTTAGAAAATTAATCTTGAAATTTTGACACTTGAAATCCTAAAGGTTCAAGAGTAACATCGAAACCACGAGATTTGAATAGTGGAAGAGTTTAATACAGGAAAAATTTGGTGTTTGATAAGCTGAAATCTCCAAATATCTACTCTAATTTGAAAATCCCAAGTTTCAATTAAAAAAAAAAATCAGAGCGTCAAAATATGAAATTTGAAAAGTCACAGATCTGAAATTCAAAAAGTCAAAAAATACGAGTTCAGTGTTTTAAATTTGAAACTCACGTTGAATTTTCCATAACTAAAAACTCAAAGATTTGAAATTAATATTAAATATATTTTAAATAAAAAATCTCTCAAAATTTTGACATTATTCTCGAAGTTTTAACGTTTTAAAATTTTAATGTTTGGCCTTGAGGAAAATAAATCCTCAAAATTTGAAAAGTGGCAGCATCTAATTTTTAAAATAAAAAATTTTGGGTTAATTTTATTAGGGTGATTAAATTTGTAACAGTCTTGATGTCAAAATTGTGAAATGAGAAAATTTAAATTCCCTAATTAAATATACAAAAATCGAAGCTTTTAAAGTCAATATTTGGTTTTAATATCCAGGTTCCAAGAGAGAGGGAGTTGAAAAGTTGAAGATTTTATTTTAGCATTGCTATAATCTTGAAGATTTAAGAAAAATATCGAAACTGTGAGATTTGAAAACTCGAAGAGTTTAATACAGAAATATTTGATACATAACAAGCTGAAATCTCCAAACATTTACTTTAATTTCGAGACTTAAAAGCTCTAAAATTCCAAGCTTTGATCTTTAAAAAAACCAGAGCTTCAAAATTTGAAAAGTAATATAAAAGTAGAAACTTCAAAATTATCATTGAAATTAAAAAAATCCAAAAAATCGAATCTCAAGTTCTCCAAGCTTAAAAATTTTGGAAATCAAATTTTTGAAAACATTGAACGTCAAGATATGGTTTAGTGCCGAGGTTCCGAAATTTGAAAAGTTGAAAATTTCATTTTATTATCGAATGTTGCACCAATTTTGTTCTATAGAAACCCGAAGTTCAAAATTAAAGTTAAAACTTCGATAACTGAAACTTTGAAGTTTCAAGATTAAGCTCGCACCAATGGGATTTAAAAAGCTGAAATTTCCAAATGTATACTTTTATGTCGAAGTTTAAAAAATTTAAAATACGAAGCTTTGAGACTTACAGCATATGAATTTCAGAGCTTAGATGGATATTTCAAAAACCGAATTTTCAAAATTTAAAAATGCTGCAACATTTAGCGTCAAGATTTGGTTTTAATGTCGAGGTTCCAAGAGTTGAAAAGTTCACGATTTTATTTTAGAATTGAACTTTGGAGCTTTGAAAATTTATATGTTTTGTCTATAAATCTTCAAAGTTAGAAAATCAATGTTGAAATCTTGAAGCTTCAAGAGTAACATCGAAATTATGAGATTTGAAAAGTCGAAAAGTTTAATACAGACACATTTGATGTTTAATCAACCTAAATTTCCAAAAATCTACTTTAATTTCAAGTTTTAAAACTTTAAAACTCCGAGCTTTTATATTAAAAAAATCAGATCTTTAAAATTAGAAAAGCCGCAGATTTGAAATTCAAAAAGTTAAAAGTGCGAGTTCAGTGTTGTAGATTTGAAACGGAGGCCAAGTTTCCGACAATTAAAAAATCCACGTCTGGATATTTCAAATCACGAAGATTCTAGAAACTCATGTTAAAATTTCTAAATTTTGACCCTACTCTCAAAATTTCAATTTTTACAATTTCAATCCTTGATCTTTGTGAAATGAATCCTCAAAATACGAAAAGTTGGAACTTCGAATTTTAAAATAAAAATTTTTGGGTTAATTTTATTAGGGTGATTAAATTTGTAACAGTCTTGATGTGACCTAAATTGAATTAGATCTTTAAGATCAATGTCAAAATTGTGAAATGAGAAAATTTAAATTCCCTAATTAAATATACAAAAATCGAAGCTTTTAAAGTCAAGATTTGGTTTTAATGTCCAGGTTCCAAGAGAGAGGAAGTTGAAAAGTTGAAGATTTTATTTTAGCATTGCTATAATCTTGAAGATTTAAGAAAAATATCGAAACTGTGAGATTTGAAAACTCGAAGAGTTTAATACAGAAATATTTGATACATAACAAGCTGAAATCTCCAAACATTTACTTTAATTTCGAGACTTGAAAGCTCTAAAACCCGAAGTTCAAAATTAAAGTTAAAACTTCGATAAAAGAAACTTTGAAGTTTCAAGATTAAGCTCGCACCAATGGGATTTAAAAAGCTGAAATTTCCAAATATATACTTTTATGTCGAAGTTTAAAAACTTTAAAATGCGGAGCTTTGAGACTTAAAGCATATGAATTTCGGAGCTTAGATGGATATTTCAAGAACCGAATTTTCAAAATTTAAAAATGCTGCAACATTTAGCGTCAAGATTTGGTTTTAACGTCGAGGTTCCAAGAGTTGAAAAGTTCAAGATTTTATTTTAGTATTGAACTTTGGAGCTTTAAAAATTTACAAGTTAGAAAATTAATGTTAAAATTTTGACACCTGAAATCTTGAAGATTCAAAAGGACGATCGGAACTTTGAGACATGAAAATTTGACATTTAAAGAATAAAAAAAATTGAATTTATTTTATATAGAGTGATTAAATTTGCAGCACACCTGACCTGACCTAAATTGGATTAGATCTTCAAAATCAATGTCAAAATTGTGAGTTTTATAATTAATATTCAAGCTAAAAATGTAAAGAAATCGAATTTCCAATTTCCAAGAGTTGAAACTTTCAAATTCGGTGCTTTGATTTTTAAAAAATCAGATGTTCAAAATTTGAAAATCAACAAATTTGTGGATTTTGACCTAATGTAAAAAAAGATTTAAAAATTGGGAGTTTTGAAGTTCGAAAAATTAAAAATTTTGCATTTATGTTAGTTTTGATAATTGAGCTTACTTGACCTGACCTGATCTGATCTGACCTGACCTGACCTGACCATTATTTAATAAACTTAGACTAAACATCAGCAAAAAAAAGCTGAAAATTTCCCTGACGTGCACGAGTGTTGCTCACATTATCTTTACCATTCCTATCACGTCTTTAAATTGTTTGCTTCCAGTTTTGTTTTATATGTTCATACTAATGTACAACTTTTCGTAATAAAAGCACAATAAAAAACACCATAATGAACCCAAAATCCCGCTAAACACGCCGCAGTTATTTACAAACACTGGACGAATTCCCACTTATCCCATTTTACAACATCCAATACGTTTTTTACGGTATGGTAAGCGGAAACAAAAAGCCAAACGATTTTACGTTCGGTTTTGTGATTTTATCCTATCAGCACGACATTTCACGTTGCAAAATTACCATAACAACGAGCTGACAATGTTTTCTTCTGTAATCCATCTATCACCCGCTCTCGCGCAGCCAAACAAAGCATAATGTAGAAAATTTAAAGTAATAGGGGTCTTGGCTTTTATTGCGGTGTTTAAATCCCCCGCTGTGTTGAGTTTTATATACCTAAAATAATTTTCATTTTTAATGCGAGTGGCTTGGAGTTGAAGTAGCAATTTCGACTGACCGACCATAGAAGAATATTTGTGCTCAATCAATAATGATAATTAAACGCTTTAAATTTTCAAGTTTTACTTTCAGGGGAGTTATGAAGGAAATTTAATGATGTCTCGTTAAGCGAATTTGCTTCATTGCTCTCGCTTTTCTTTAATTATGGTCTACTGTGTAATTATTTGTCGGGTTTTTTCTTGAATTTAGTTGGTTTGAGTCTTACCCCATTGCACTTTTGTAGTGAGTTTCTTTCATGTGGTCGACGATGGCGGTGCCGTTTCTGGGGTCCCCGCCCTCGTCCAGGACTTCCAGGAGGGCTTTGGTGTAGAGGTGAACGGCGTCGTATAAATAGGCCGCTTCGGCTCTTATCTGAAAAATATTTTTGTTGTATGACAGTTGATACAATTGTTTTAATTAATTAATTTATCTGAAATTTAATTTACAGTTTGCAGAGATTTAATGAAAATCGTTTTGTGTCTTGAAAGGATAATAAAGTGTCGGAAACAGTTCCCTCTTTGTAGCTAATTAAGTGCTTTGTTTCCAATAACTTTTATGGAAATAGTCTTGCTAATTAAATTTTAATTGCAAAAGCACTTATTTTTGAGTAAGGATAAAATTAACATTCTGTAAACACGAAATTTCGCGCTAGGTTCCTATTTATAATCCAGATTCCAACGCTTTCTGATTACCCTTAATATCATAATCCTCTTTAATAACATTATTTTTCTTTTTATTTTTCTTAGCGCTCCCCAGCTCGCTATTTCACCGGATTTTGTTCCGGAAACAATAACAGAGACTGAGATTTTTTCGAGCTCGAGCGATATTTTTGGAAATTATCAAGTATTAAAAAATGCAACACTAGCTGAAATTTGCACAACGCTTTAAAAAACAACCCAAGGAATTGCGAGTTCACAACAAAAAACAAGCGCCGTCCGGAATAACAAAACTGCTCTCCGTGGTGTAATTTGCATGCCTGTTGAATCAGCTGGTAAATGGAAAACGCCACAAAATGCAAATGCAACTGGATGGAAAAAGAGTTAACTTAGCGATCAGCACGTTAAAATGCAAGCCGACACCGTATCATTGTTTCGGGTTTTAGTTTGCTAATTAAAAGGGGAAACTGCCTTAATTTTGAACGGAGTTTAGAGAAAACGGTCGTGATATTTATGCTCGAACTCCCTCACAACAAGCGAATAACACCCTCGGTTTGACAATATTATTTCGTGTTACCTAAATCCCGAAAAGGGGTTTATTACGCAAAAATGGGGCTCGCATTTCAAGTCTATTCATGATCTATGAATAGACGGCTACTTAAGCGTTCTTACCCGTTTTGATCCCCCGACGAAGCTAAGCGGATTGGGAAAATTAAAAGGTGGTCGCTCCATATAAGAATTCACAAGTATTGCAAAGTTTTCAAAGCCCACGGGACTCGAAGGAACCACGCCGAGATAATTTCTGAATGCCCTTTGAGCCACTGGATCCGTTTCATCCCTGAGTAGACCCCGTAAATACTTCGAGGGGTTTTTGCTGTCGTACTGCTCGATGTCCACCCCCAGCACGAAATATTCCCCTAGGAGAAAACAGCTTGAAATTTTTTCGAAAAAATTAACAACCTTGACCCTAAAAACCGGACTCCGGTGTTCTACCTCGTCTATAACTCACCGCCAGCTTTGCTAGTAAAACTCTTCTGCAATAATTCGTACAGTTAAGCGAAGCCGGCTGGATTCCGGGTTACCGGAAATCACACCGGATGCTGGAGCAACGTCCGGATATGTGATTTAATCTGCGTCCTTTCCATCAATATAGGAACATTGATACGTTTTGAGTGAGTAGTCGGTGGCATGTTGATACCGGAGCCGAGCTCCGGAATGCTCCGGATATGTAACGAAGTGGTTTACGTCACAACAGATATACATTTATATAGGCACGACGAGAAAGGACTTCGATCGATCGAAAATTATTATTATTGCAAAATTTCGTTACGTAAAGCGCTACCGGACTAAATTTTGACTTTTTTGACGTTATTGGATTCATAAATAAAACGAAAGGGTCATAAGTGTGCTGAAATGCTTTAACTACACCGGTTACAAACCTTTATCGAACAGTTTCTTCTCTTCCATTGCGACCATGAGGCCCAAATGTTCGTAGTGGTGCCCCAAAATTACGAAAACTGCAACAATTAAGCGAGATTTATAAGCAAACTTCGCACATTACAAATCGTGCGGTGGTTATCGTAGCAAGTAGTTCTAGTGCACGTTTTAGGTTATGTTAATTCGAGTTTTATCGGACGTTTTGAAACAAAAATAACGCGATAAATTTTAAATTAAAACACACTTGTAAAACATACAAAAATTGCTACATTTTCTCGGATAAAACTACTAATCAGCAAGAACTGTATAAATCAGTTAAAAGAGAGCTTTCTGAAAGAGTAACTAACTACAAAAAGAGTGGATCTTCATAATTTAATGACTCATTTAAACGTCTTCGTTAAGAATCTGCTCGATTCTTGCTGAGTCACTTTGTATTATATTTAATTTAATCATAAAAAAATTGTCTTCCTTTCACTTTGGAAGAAGCACAGCAGAATCAGGTGACAAATTATAGAGGTATATAGATACTTTGCAAGTCAGCATGGTTTTGTGAAAAAAAATCGACAATTATAAATTTAGCTGTATTTTGCCAATATACCGGGTGTCTGGAAAATGCCGAATTAACTCTCCGCTACGTTCTTAACAATCAACTGGTGAGTCTGGGAAAATAGTAAAAACATCCTTCTCATATTTTTAAAGTTTAACAAAAATCAAAAATTGTCAAAGTTTTCAAAATTCCACGTTTCAAATGTTCGTAGTTAATTTTAGGTGCTCGGGTGCTTTATTTTCGGATAAATTTAAAGAAATGTGGTGTTTTGTTGCCGGATGAACTTGAAAAATCTTTTTTGCACTCATGACCTTTTTTGATAGCTTTCGCGCATTCACCAGAGTGCGGGAGGTCGAACTTCCCGCACACGTGCATTTAACTTCCCGTTGCCATGGGAACCTTAAAATACTCGGGTAGTGTCAACATTGTGACGTGTTGACGGCGCTGTCAATGGCGTTGTTTATAAATAACTCACAGTTAATCTCTTCAGTTTAAAGGTTTATTCGTCGCAAAAAATATTGTACACAACACGTTCGTGAGCCTGCTTCCCGCATTCACGCAAATGCGGCACTCCCTTCGGTCGTGCCTCAAACAAGCGTTCATGCGGGAAGCAGGCTATCCCGAACTAGTTGCGTAAATTACTATTGAGCTTTTAGTGTTTTATTTTTTATGGATTTGAAAAAGTCTTGAGTGCCACAGTGTTTTTGTTTTTTTAATTTGGGAGACCCTTGGGTATTATTTTGGGCGCCTATGGAGATTTTTTCTGTAAACTATATTAATTTTGGCAGATGATACAGCCTCTAAGAAAATAGAGGGTGGGTGGGCGGGGTTACTGCTTGCTTATAATATAAGACTCTATAAATTCGGCCCTCTCCTTTATTCATTTCACTGAATTATTTTATTTATTGAAAAATGGGAATAAAATTTTGATAAATGGTAGAATCTAAGATTTAAAATAAAGTCAAAAGTGGCCCCGCCCACCCACCCCTATTATGTTTTGGTCAATCATTTTAATGCCACTGCGAAAGTTGAATTTTATGTTTAGAAATAACAGAATCTAAGATTACATTTTTTTAAATAAAATTTTGCTTCTAAAATATTGCTTTCTTATAAAAGGCTTTGTAGAAACAAGTCAAAATTAGCCCATCCACTCCTTTTCTCATTTTTTTGTCTTTTGAAATAAGAACTAAATCTTATAGCATATGTACTGAATAATTTTTTGTTTCTGAAATAAGAACTAATTATTATAGCATATGTACTGAATAATTAACCCCGCCCATGAACCACGCCTCCATTTCCGTGATTCATTTTATCTGATGTGAATGACAGGTGGATTTTTTACTGAGCAGAAATAAAATCGTTATAATGAAAACGGCACGAGTGGGCGGGATTAGTATTTGCTCAGATAAGACTAATTTTGGCAGATGATACACCCTCTAAGAAAATAAAGGCTGGGTGGGCGGAGCTAGTACTTGTTGACACAACACCGAACAATATTAGGAGTAGTTATATTTAAAACAATATTGGGGACTTTGTTGTTCCATTTTTGGAAAATTTAGACCTGACCTGGTTATGATTTAATTTTTTTTTGAAAATTTAAAAAAATTATGATGTTAATTATATCATTATATTCCGGCTTGGAAAGAATTTTAAAGTGCTTTGGAGCCTCTAGTGTCTTTTCTACTAACAATTTAATTAAATTTCTATTAGGATATATCATTTGCTAAAATCAGTCTTATTTTAGCTAGTACCACCCACCAGCTAGTAGGTGCCAAGACAAGACTGATTTTGGCGAATGACATACCTTCTAAGAAAAGAAAGGACGGGTGGGCGGGGCTAGTACCTGCTAAGATGAGACTGACTTTTGCAAATAAAATATTCTCTAAGAAAAGAGAGGGTGGGTGGGTGGGTGGGACCTGTGCCTGCTAAGATAAGACTGATCTTAGCTAGTACCTGCTAAGATAAGACTGATCTTAGCTAGTACCTTCTAAGATTGATTTTTGCAAATAAAATATACTTATACTATACTCTAAGAAAAGAGAGGGTGGGTGGGTGGGGCTATTGCCTGCTAAGATAAGATTGATCTTAGCTAGTGCCTGCTAAGATAAGACTGATCATAGCTAGTATCTCCTAAGATGTAACTGATTTTTGCAAATAAGATATCCTCTAACAAAAGAGAGGGTGGGTGGGTGGGGCTAGTTCGTGCTAAGGTAAGACTGATTTTAGCTAGTAACTCCTAAGATAAGACTGATTTTTGCAAATAACATATCCTCTAAGAAAAGAGAGGGTGGGTGGGTGGGGCTAGTGCCTGCTAAGATGATACTCATCTTAGCGAGTACCTCTTAAGATAAGACTGACTTTTGCAAATAACATATCTTCTAAGAAAAGAGAGGGTGAGTGGGTAGGACTAGTTCCTGCTAAGGTAAGACAGATCTTAGCTAGTAACTCATAAGATAAGACTGATCTTAGCTAGTGCTTGCTAAGATAAGACTGATCTTAGCTAGCGCTTGACAAGATAAGATTGATTTTTGCAAATAAAATATTCTCTAAGAAAAGAGAGGGTGGGTGGGTGGGGCTAGTGCCTGCTAAGATGAGACTCATCTTACCGAGTACCTCTTAAGATAAAACTGACTTTTGCAAATAACATATCTTCTAAGAAAAGAGAGGGTGAGTGGGTAGGGCTAGTGCCTGCTAAGATAAGACCGATCTTAGCGAGTACCTCCTAAAGGCCGTGTGACACGATGCTAAATTTATGACAAATTTTTGTACGAAATTTAGTTCGAAAAAATGTAACTAAATTTACAACTAAACAATATATCTCCTGTATGCCACCTTACTAAATTCTCTTGTAAATTTACCATTCGCGCATGCGTAGTGAGTGAAAATTTTCGGGAATTTAAGAAATAGTGTTGGTAATGGTGATTGGTAAGGTGCGTTTTTCAACATAACCTCTGTGACATAACCTACAATTTGTTTGTTTATTATTTACTTATTAATCATTTATAATGAATTGTGAGGAAATACTTGTTTATACAACTATTGCTGCTTCGAGTATTGTTCTAAGCTGCTATGCCAATAAAACAAATCGGAAAATTCAAAGAAGAAAACGACGTTCACTATGGAGCAGACCTTGGTTAACAAGGCGACAAGAAAGACGAGATATTTTAAACATGTTAAATACCGAGTTGTTGCCAGAAGATCCAACTGCATATCAAAATTTTTTGAGATTAACGGGTGCTCAATTTGTGGGCAAAAGAACTGTTTGGTTATGTTGATTTCATCATGGCGTCGTACTGGTTGCGCCTTATCGTACTGCGCAGTTTTCGTAACAAATTTAGTCAGTATTTAGAACGTGTCCTAAATAATTTCTCACCAAAATTTGCACACAAATTTAGCATGTAAATTGTGTATGACACGATACAATTTTTTGCACAAAATTTATCTCGCTAAAATTTGTCATAAATTTAGCATCGTGTCACACGGCCTTAAGATAAGACTGATCTTAGCGAGTACCTTCTAAGATAAGACTGACTTTTGCAAATAACATACCTTCTAAAAAAGAGAGGGTGGGTGGGTGGGGCTAGTGCCTGCTAAGGTAAGACTGATCTTAGCTAATACCTCCTAAGATAAACCTGACTTTTGCAAATAAGATATCCTCTAAGAGAAGAGAGGGTGGGTGAAGCTAGTGCCTGCTAACAAAAGACTGATTTTGGCAAATGATATATCCTCTACCCTTCATTTTATTAGAGGGAATGTCATTTCCCAAAATCAGTCTTATCTTGGCAGGCACTAGCCCCACCCAAACACCCTCTATTTTCTTAGAGGATAGATGATTTGCAAAAGTCAATTTTATCTTAGCAGGTACTAGCTAAGATCAGTCTTATCTTAGCAAGCACTAGCCCCACCCACCCACCCTCTCTTTTCTTAGAGAATATTTTATTTGCAAAAATCAGTCTTATCTTAGCAGGCACTAGCTAAGATCAGTCTTATTTTAGCAGGCACTAGCCCCACCCACCCACCCTCTCTTTTCTTAGAGAATCTTTTATTCGCAAAAATCGATCTTAGAAGGCACTAGCTAAGATCAGTCTTATCATAGCAGGCACTAGCTAAGATCAGTCTTATTTTAGCAGGCACTAGCCCCACCCACCCATCCTCTCTTTTCTTAGAGAATATTTTATTCGCAAAAATCGATCTTAGAAGGCACTAGCTAAGATCAGTCTCATCATAGCAGGCACTAGCTAAGATCAGTCTTATTTTAGCAGGCACTAGCCCCACCCACCCACCCTCTCTTTTCTTAGAGAATATTTTATTCGCAAAAATCGATCTTAGAAGGCACTAGCTAAGATCAGTCTTATCATAGCAGGCACTAGCCCCACCCACCCACTCTCTCTTTTCTTAGAGAATATTTTATTTGCAAAAATCAATCTTAGAAGGCACTAGATAAGATCAGTCTTATCTTAGCAGGCACTAGCCCCACCCACCCACCCTATCTTTTCTTAGAGGATATTTTATTCGCAAAAATCGATCTTAGAAGGCACTAGTTAAAATCAGTCTTATCTTAGCAGGCACTAGCTAAGATCAGTCTTATTTTAGCAGGCACTAGCCCCACCCACCCACCCTCTCTTTTCTTAGAGAATATTTTATTCGCAAAAATCGATCTTAGAAGGCACTAGCTAAGATCAGTCTTATCATAGCAGGCACTAGCCCCACCCACCCACCCTCTCTTTTCTTAGAGAATATTTTATTTGCAAAAATCAATCTTAGAAGGCACTAGCTAAGATCAGTCTTATCTTAGCAGGCACTAGCCCCACCCACCCACCCTATCTTTTCTTAGAGGATATTTTATTTGCAAAAATCAGTCTTATTTTAGCAAGCGCTAGCTAAGATCAGTCTTATCTTAGCAAGCACTAGCTAAGATCAGTCTTATCTTAGGAGTTACTAGCTAAGATCAGTCTTACCTTAGCAGGCACTAGCCCCACCCACCCACCCTCTCTTTTCTTAGAGAATATTTTATTTGCAAAAATCAATCTTAGAAGGCACTAGCTAAGATCAGTCTTATCTTAGCAGGCACTAGCCCCACCCACCCACCCTCTCTTTTCTTAGAGGATATTTTTATTGCAAAAATCAGTCTTATCTTAGCAAGCGCTAGCTACGATCAGTCTTATCTTAGCAAGCACTAGCTAAGATCAGTCTTATCTTAGCAGGTACTAGCCCCACCCACCCACCATCTCTTTTCTTAGAGGATAGGTGATTTGCAAAAATCAGTCTTATCTTGCCAAGCGCTAGCTAAGATCAGTCTTATCTTAGGAATTACTAGCTAAGATCAGTCTTACCTTAGCAGGCACTAGCCCTACCCACTCACCCTCTCTTTTCTTAGAAAATATGTTATTTGCAAAAGTCAGTTTTATCTTAAGAGGTACTCGGTAAGATGAGTCTCATCTTAGCAGGCACTAGCCCCACCCACCCACCCTCTCTTTTCTTAGAGAATATTTTATTTGCAAAAATCAATCTTATCTTGTCAAGCGCTAGCTAAGATCAGTCTTATCTTAGCAAGCACTAGCTAAGATCAGTCTTATCTTATGAGTTACTAGCTAAGATCTGTCTTACCTTAGCAGGAACTAGTCCTACCCACTCACCCTCTCTTTTCTTAGAAGATATGTTATTTGCAAAAGTCAGTCTTATCTTAAGAGGTACTCGCTAAGATGAGTCTCATCTTAGCAGGCACTAGCCCCACCCACCCACCCTCTCTTTTCTTAGAGGATATGTTATTTGCAAAAATCAGTCTTATCTTAGGAGTTACTAGCTAAAATCAGTCTTACCTTAGCACGAACTAGCCCCACCCACCCACCCTCTCTTTTCTTAGAGGATATGTTATTTGCAGAAGTCAGTCTTATCTTAGGAGGAACTAGCTAAGATGAATCTTACCTTAGCAGGCACTAGCCCCACCCACCCGCCCTCACTTTTCTTAGAGGGTATGTCATTTGCCAAAATCAGTCCTATCTTGGCAGCTACTAGCTGGTGGGTGGGGCTAGTGCCTACTAAGATAAGACTGATATTGGCAAGTGACCTACTCTCTAAGAAAATGTAGGGCGAGTGGACGGGTCTGGTCTTACTAGGATAAGGGTGATTTTGGCAAATGACATATGCTTGAAAAAAATAAAGGGTGGGTGGGTGGGGCCAATACTTGCTAAGATACGACTGATTTTGGCAAATGAGATATCTTCGAAGAAAATAAAGGGTGGGTGGGTGGGGCCAATACTTGCCAAGATAAGACTGATTTTGGTAAATGATCTATCCTCTACCCTTCATTTTATTAGAAGGTATGTCATTTGGCAAAATCAGTCTTATCTTTGTAAGCATTGGCCCCACCCACCCACCCTTTATTTTTTTCGAAGATATCTCGTTTGCCAAAATCAGTCTTATCTTCACTGCTATTAGCTGTCCAGACACCCGGTAAAATGTGACGTCATATACTGATTTCTAAAAGGCTTTGGATAAAATATTGACTTCACAAATCCGTTATTGAAATTTTTAATCTTTTATTTGACCGATAGAATCTCAGTTGTGAAACACAGAAATTTTTATTTCTAAACCATTTACTCCATTTTCTGGGGTCGCACAGGGATCGAACTTAGGACTCTTGTTGTTTTTCCACTTTATTAACGATCTTCCTGATGTTATTCCCTGCAATGAACATATATTGGCTGATGTCAAATTATATTAATGATTGTTATTATCTTTAGTTTTGCTTAATTTTATCACCGTTGTTTTTGACTATAATTTAAAACGAGTTGAATTGAAAATCGACTGGATTAAAGACTTACGTATCAGTTTCGATAGCAGTTTTTTTCACAAATCATTATAAAGACATTATTGCTAAGGCTTACAAGATGCATGGTTTTATTTATCGCAATTGTAGATAATTTGTGGATCAGCAAACTCATATCATATTATTTTGTTCTTTGGTGAGATCAAGACTGGAGTGCGGGGTAGTTATTTGGTGCCCCACCTACGTAATCCATGGCAAGGAGATTGAGGCTGTACAAAGAAAATTTATAAAATTCTTAGCTTTTTTACAAGGCGGTGTTTATCCTCCACGTGGTGTAGAGCATTCAGATCTTTTGAAGAGATTTAATTTTACATTACTGCATGCTCGGCGAAATATACTCTTGATTCGCTTCTTATATAATCTTCTTCATAATAAAACTGACTTTCTGTGCTCTTGGGTAAAATTAATTTTCTTGTACCTCGGCTAAATAAATAGTCGTCAACATATTTCTTTTTATTTTAACTCTGCTAGAACTAATGCTCTAGATAGATCTCCAATTAATTTAAAGTGCGGTATATTTAATTGTATTTCTAATAACCGTGATATTCATAATGATTCGTTAATTTTAGTTTCTTTATGTTTAAGGTTAATAAATAACTTTTGGCAAGATAATGCCATTATAAATCGTGTATCCCCGAAAATTAGGAAACATGTACAAAGTTTTTATTTATTAACCGCATTATGCACGCTATAAATCACCCTCAACTTTGAAGTCGTGAAGCGTTCGAGTATTGTTCGGCTCAAAACACCTCAAGTAAACTTTTTATTTCGAAATAAATCTTCAAAAATTATTAAACCCCTCGTGCTACACCCAGCAATCGATCCCAAGAAAGCAAAAGAAGCTGTATGCTGAGATATTGGAGAGAGCATAATGGCCCCAGCGTCACGAGAATCAGGAAATATTACACTTCGGTTATTACTTTTCAGTTTGGATGAATGAAAACGTCATTAAGTTGACACCGATGTAATCCAATTTCAAATCGAGTGCGATGCGAGAATACAGAATAATTTTCACAATTCGTCGAATACGTCTTATTTGAGAAAATGATTTATTTATATTTCGGTCGAGGGACTTTTCACGTATCTAATTATCTAAGTGAGCGATTCAAAGACGTCCAGAAAACAAACTCGTAAATTGGATGGGCAACAACATTTGAATAAACTAATCTGTTAATCGTTTTTCGGCCCGAAAGGAACAAATGTGGGCTTTATGTAGTGCGAAGCAATCGATTCGGGCGAAATCTATTTCACTGCAACGATAAAACGTAAAATCCAATTTGAGGTAACTGCGGTGAACCACGATATGATTCCTGGAAGACACGAAGTCAAAAACTTGAAAAAATTATAACCACAATGTCACTCTTTCTAAGTTAAAAATATTTTTCTTGATTCAGTTTCGATTTCGGCTTTATTAAAAACAAATAATGCATTGTTCCTACGATTGCTAAGATCAAAGCAAAAATCGCTTTGAACCCGTCCCCATGCAAACAAAGAAAAAATTGCCTAATTTTCCACTCACATGCTTCGCATAACTCCGGAAAAATACGCGTAATTTCCGACATTTGGATGTTTCCTCACTCCTCGTTATGCGCCTATGAATGGCTTATCATAATCATATTACTGTCGACGGAATAAAAATCCTTCCCCGTTCTAAACGGTATAATCATAAAATTGAACAACCGCGCTGAAACAAGAAACTCACTCCTCGTGTCCCTGTAGGTTTGCTCGACCAGTTTATAAAAGGGGTTTTCGCCGTAGCCGTGGTGGTATGGGGTGTCCCAGTATTTCGCTGTGATGACGGTGATTCCGGCCCCGGCTAGGGTTTCTAAAATAATAGCAGCGATGTTGCCGAACTCGAAATCCGGAGACTTTAAGTACAGGAGGACCACCTATAAACACAACAATGGGAGAAAATTTGGGCGAAAAAGTCACTTACGTGGGTCCAGTTGAAAGCGACTAGGACCGAAGCCACTGATTTGGAAATCTGGGTATCGGGGGGGCGCGTTCGGGCGAAAGTTGGGAACTTCGATTTGTCGGAAGTGGCGTAGTGGGTACAGAACTGCAACAATTGTGGGTGGTTAACGTACGTCGAACGAAATGTGACACGTCGACTTCTCACTTGATGATAATAAAAAAAGAGCGGCTTCAAATGCATGAAAGTTGTATAGATTTAAATGTGTAACTGAGAAAATCCTTTAATTTGAGCCCTACTTGTCTATTTTTGATCACGACTGCCTTTTTTGTCTATTTTGTCATAAATTGAAAGGGTCACATTTAATATATTAAAAAATATATTTTTGAAATCAGCATGTCGAGATCTACGTCCCTGATTTTTTTCAAAATTTTTAGACAACTTTTTTAAAAGTGAAATTTTTCCTTCTTAAAATTTTCGCCAATTTTTGACATTTTCGAAACTTAACTGAATACATTTTCTCGTAGATTTCGAGCCGCAAAAGTCACTTTGGGTCTCGTTTCTTCGATAACTCCAACCGTTTTTCCAGAATCGGTGGTTGAAATAACAACATTTTTGGAATTTTTAAAAATTTTGACTTTAATCTAGAACATTTCGAAAATGAACATAAACATGCTCTATTTTTGGAATCAGCAGGTCGAAATCTATATACGTTAGAATTTTTTGTGGATTTTTAGCCAACTTTTTCTAAAGTGAAATTTTTCCAATAAATTCTTTTTTAAATTTCGCCCCATTTTTGACCATTTCGAAACTTAAGTAAATACACTTTCTTATAGATTTCGAGCTGTAGAAGCCGCTTTCGACCTTGTTTCTTTGATAATTTTAACCGTTTTTCCAGAATTAGTTGTTGAAATTACGAAATTTTTGGAATTTTTAAAAATTTTGACTTTAATCTAGAACATTTCGAAAATGAACATAAACATGCTATATTTTTCGAATCAGCAGGTCGAAATCTATATAACCCACATTTTTTTGTGAATTTTGAGATAACTTTTTAAAAGGTAAATTTTTTTCAATACTCGCTCTTTCTTCATATTTCGATCCATTTTTGACGATTTTCGAAACTTAACTAAATACATTTTCTTGGAGATTTCGAGTTGCAGAAGTCATTTCCGGCACTCTCTCATTGATAACTACAACCGTTTATCTAGAGTCGGTCGGTAAAATATTGAAATTTTTAGAATTTTTAAAAATTTTGAATTTAATCCCGAACATTTCGAAACTGTTGCTCCATGTACATAAACAGACTATATTTTGGGAATCAGGATGTCGAGATCTATGTACCTTAGAATTTTTTGTGGATTTTTAGCCAACTTTTTCAAAGGTGAAATTTTTCCAATAAATTCTTTTTCAAATTTCGACCCATTTTTGACCATTTCGAAACTTAAGTAAATACAATTTCTTATAGATTTCGAGATGTAGAAGTCACTTCCGGCCTTGTTTCTTTGATAATTTTAACCGTTTTTCCAGAATTAGTTGTTGAAATTACGAAATTTTTGGAATTTTTCAAAATTTTGACTTTAATCTAGAACATTTCGAAAATGAACATAAAAATGCTGTTTTTGGAATCAGCAGGTCGAAATCTATGTACGTTAGAATTTTTTGTGGATTTTTTGCCAACTTTTTCAAAGGTGAAATTTTTCCAATAAATTCTTTTTCAAATTTCGACCCATTTTTGACCATTTCGAAACTTAACTAAATACACTTTCTTATAGATTTCGAGATGTAGAAGTCACTTCCGGCCTTGTTTCTTTCATAATTTTAACCGTTTTTCCAGAATTAGTTGTTAAATTTACGAAATTTTTGGAATTTTTAAAAATTTTGACTTTAATCTAGAACATTTCGAAAATGAACATGAACATGCTATATTTTTGGAATCGGCAGGTCGAAATCTATATACGTTAGAATTTTTTGTGGATTTTTAGCCAACTTTTTCAAAGGTGAAATTTTTCCAATAAATTCTTTTTCAAATTTCGACCCATTTTTGACCATTTCGAAACTTAACTAAATACACTTTCTTATAGATTTCGAGATGTAGAAGTCACTTCCGGCCTTGTTTCTTTCATAATTTTAACCGTTTTTCCAGAATTAGTTGTTAAATTTACGAAATTTTTGGAATTTTTAAAAATTTTGACTTTAATCTAGAACATTTCGAAAATGAACATGAACATGCTATATTTTTGGAATCGGCAGGTCGAAATCTATATACGTTAGAATTTTTTGTGGATTTTTAGCCAACTTTTTCAAAGGTGAAAGTTTTCCAATAATTTCTTTTTCAAATTTCGACCCATTTTTGACCATTTCGAAACTTAACTAAATACACTTTCTTATAGATTTCGAGATGTAGAAGTCACTTCCGGCCTTGTTTCTTTCATAATTTTAACCGTTTTTCCAGAATTAGTTGTTAAATTTACGAAATTTTTGGAATTTTTAAAAATTTTGACTTTAATCTAGAACATTTCGAAAATGAACATGAACATGCTATATTTTTGGAATCGGCAGGTCGAAATCTATATACGTTAGAATTTTTTGTGGATTTTTAGCCAACTTTTTCAAAGGTGAAAGTTTTCCAATAATTTCTTTTTCAAATTTCGACCCATTTTTGACCATTTCGAAACTTAAGTAAATACACTTTCTTATAGATTTCGAGCTGTAGAAGCCGCTTTCGACCTTGTTTCTTTTATAATTTTAGCCGTTTATCCAGAATTAGTTGTTGAAATTACGAAATTTTTGGAATTTTTAAAAATTTTGACTTTAATCTAGAACATTTCGAAAATGAACATAAACATGCTATATTTTTGGAAGCAGCAGGTCGAAATCTATATACGTTAGAAATTTTTGTGGATTTTTAGCCAACTTTTTCAAAGGTGAAATTTTTCCAATAATTTCTTTTTCAAATTTCGACCCATTTTTGACCATTTCGAAACTTAAGTAATTACACTTTCTTATAGATTTCGAGATGTAGAAATCACTTCCGGCCTTGTTTCTTTGATAATTTTAACCGTTTTTCCAGAATTAGTTGTTGAAATTACGAAATTTTTGGAATTTAATTTACTTTAATTTACTCTAAATTTCGAAATTTTAGGAGCTTCAAGTTAATTACAACTAATTATATCTAATTTAGAGTCAAGAAGTCTAATGAAATAAACCGAACTTTCCGGGTACTTAATAATAAATCCGAATTTCAAACAAAAAATCAAAATTTGGAATGATTAATTTGGCTTAATTAACTTACAATTTCTAAACAATGAATTCGAATTTTAAGTAAAAAACATTGAAATTTTAAACCAAGTGTGTCGAAATTACGATATAAGATCTTGAAATTTCGAAATAATTAATTACATTTTTTTTAAGTACAGTTAAACTTTTGTATAATTAAATTAAGATTTCGAGATAATAGCTCGAAATTTTAAGAAAAAATTTTTAAATATTAATCTACTTAATAGAAATATGGAGACAAATTAATCTAGTTTTTGTCAAAGTTAAGTAAATTGTAAAATCAGTACGTTGAAATTTACTTTAATTGACTCTAAATTTCGAAATTATAGAAGTTTCAAGTTAATTAGAACTAATTATATCTAATTTATAGTTAAGAAATCCAATTTAATAAACCGAACTTTTAGGGTACTTGATAATAAATCCGAATTTCAAACAAAAAATTCAAATTTAGGATTACTAATTTGGCGTAATTAACTTAGAAGATAATTAATTAGAATTTGAAGTAAAAACACTGAAATTTTAAACCAGTGTGTCGAAATTACGATATCAGATGTTGGAATTTTGGGATAATTAATTAAAAAAAAAATTATTATATATATAATTATTAAATTTTAAGAGAAAAACTTTCAATTTAATGTATTAAATGGAAATTTGGAGAAAAATGAGTAGATATTTTGTCATAATTAATTAAATTCTAAAATCAATACCTTGAAATTTATTTTAAATAACTCTAAATTTCAAAATAATAAGAGCTTCGAGTTAATTAGAACTAATTATATATAATCTAAAGATAGTAAATCTGATTTAATAAAGCGAAACTTTAGGGTACTTAATAATAAATCCGAATTTCGAACAAAAAACCCAAATTTAGGATTACTAATTTGGCTTAATTAAATTATATTTTCTATGAAATTAATCAAAATTTCAAGTCAAAACAATGGGATTTTAAGCCAGTGTGACGAAATCACGATATGAGATTTTGAAATTTCGAGGATAAAGCTTAAATTTCTAGACGATTAATTAAAAATTTTCTAAATGACAGTTAAACTTTCTTATAAATTAAATTAAATTAAGATTTCGAGATAATGGCTCGAAATTTTAAGAGAAAAACTTTGAGCTTTACTGTGTTAAATGAAAATTTGGAGATAAATGAATGGAGATTTTGTCATAATTAATTAAATTGTAAAATCAGTACGCTGAAATTTACTTTAATTTACTCTAAATTTCGAAATTATAGGAGCTTCAAGTTAATTAAAACTAATTATATCTAATTTAGAATCAACCAATCTAAATAAATTAACCTAACTTTCAAACAAAAAATCAAAATTTAAAATTATTAATTTGGCTTAATTAACTTACAATTTCTAAACAATGAATTAGAATTTTAAGTAAAAACGCTGAAATTTTAAACCAGTGTGTCGAAATAACGATATCAGATGTTGAAATTTCGAGATAATTAATTACAATTTTTTTTAAAGATAAATTAAGCTTTTGTATAATTAAATTAAGATTTCGAGATAATGGCTCGAGATTTTAAGAGAAAAACTTTCAATTTTAACGATTAAATGGAAATTTGGAGAGAAATGAGTACTTAATAATAAATCCGAATTTCAAACAAAAAAATCAAAATTTAGGATTACCAATTTGGCTTAATTAACTTACAATTTGTAGGAAACTAATCAGAATTTTAAATTTTATCCTAATGTGGCGAAATTACGATAACAGATGTTGAAATTTCGAGGTCAAAGCATAAATTTTGTTAAAGATAAGTTGGACTTTCGTAAATATTAAATTAAGATTTCGAAATTTTAACAGAAAGACTTGAAATTTTAATCTATTGAATGAAAATTTGGGAATAATTAATTGAG